GCCTGCTATGCAGCAAACTAGATGCGTTTAGATACCAACAAGAAGCACAAATCACAGCGCAGCAGCAGCAGCAGCAGCAGCAGCAGCAGGAGCAGCAGCAGGAGCAGCAGCAGGAGCAGCAGCAGGAGCAGGAGCAGGAGCAGGAGCAGGAGCAGGAGCAGGAGCAGGAGCAGGAGCAGGAGCAGGAGCAGGAGCGGCAGCGACAGTAGCAGTAGCAGTAGCAGTGGCAGTAGCAGGAGTAGCAGCAGCAGCGGCCGCAGCAGTAGAATGAGGAGGCGTCACTGTCGCCGGTGTTGTACTAGCAGTAGCTGTACCAACTCCTAGGACCAACAACACGACCAATGCAAACATACTTGCGAAAACCCCAATTGCAAAGCTCTTAGCCCCCTTAGCCCTAAATCAAAGCTCCAAAATCTGGGCCCCCGCACCCTGAGCTGCACTTTCAAGAACTGCAGGCCACTTTCCACGTGTGGCACCTGTGCTTGGGGGGAAGCTTACGAAATAAATTAACAATTCTGTTCATCAGCAGCACGGCCCCATTGTACGTGTGTATGTATGTATGTGTATCTTTGTATATGTTTATGTATATGTATATGTATATGTATATGTATATGTATGTTTACATGTATGTATGTATATATATATATATATATTATGTACACTTATCTAAGACAGATCTGTGTATAATTTACACACATATGTATGATTATATTATAATCATCCATACATTCCTTCTCGTGTCATTTCTTCAACGAAGAAATGACACGAGCCCGAATGCATGCATATGTTAATTGTCTGTTGACTGGGCCTTGGGTGCCCTGCCCGGAGGATGCACCCTAAACCCTAAACCCTAAACCCTAGTGCATCAGTTGAAGTTTCGGTTAAAAAGGGGAACCTTCAGTTCCAAAAATCCTAGGGGTTTAGGGTTTAGGGATCAGGGTTTAGGGGTTTAGGGTTTAGGGCGTTTAGGGTTCAGGGTTTAGGGGATGCTCCTCATTCGTGAATTCTTTTTGCCATGTCCTCAGAAACTGCAGGGTGCCATGTCTTCCTGGTCGCTGAGTTCCCTGGCCCCCCAAAGTCGTTAATCTGCTGCTCATGTTAGGAGTGGGAATTGGGAGCTAGGATTAGGGGGACCCTTGGGGATATAGACCCTCTCAATAAGGTCCCTTTTAAGAGAGCCAAAAGTAGGGTTCAGAAGGGGTACCCTTTAAGGGGCATCCCTAATAATACTACCTAGGAATGCAGTAGCCCCTGGAGGTTTACGGCTACTCACCTTCTAAGTTCAGATGAGCACTGTAATTACCCACAAACCCTAAACCCTAAACCCTAAACCCCGCAACCTTTGCACCCCAAGGCCCCCAAAAGCCCTAAAGCCCTAAAGTCCTAACGCTCCCAAACACACCCCCGCATGATTAAACAGTTCCTTTACAAGGCTCCATGTGCCGAGATAGTATATATATATATACTCAAGCCTCAAAAGGGGTTCCTATACAAGTACTTTAAGACCTATAGTATGCACTTTTCAAGTACATGGAGCCTAGGGTGGCAGAGCTAACACCCGACAACTTCCTAAGGCCAAGGGCACCAGCGAAGCTTTCAAAGAGTGGGCTTCGATGTGCAAGAAGCCGCTGGCGTGAGTCGTCCTTGAGAAGTCCATATTTCGGGCCGCGTGACTTCGGATTTAGCGTTTTAGGGTTTAGGGTTTTAAGTTAAAGGGCTTAGGGTAAAGGGAGTAGGTCTGGAGGGAGGAGGGATTCTCGGATTCAATGCTAGTAGGGTGGTTCCGACAGGTCCTCTCAGGCTTCTGTGTCGGTATCATCCATCTCATAACTGACCCCAAGCCCTAAACTCCAAAGCTTCAATCTCTACCATTTGCGTACATGGACATTGTGGGGCTTCGAGACCACGGCAGCATCTCTTGCATGTCTTCTTCTCCAAGACATACTCACAACCCCCCTAAAAAAGCACCCTAAACCACAAAGCGCGAAGTCCTTGAGCCCTACACCACCAAATCCCATGCCTCTAAACAGCCCTAAACCCCCCCGTTCCCAACACCGTAACTTGGGCCTGACAATGCTACTGCAGTTCAGTGTGCAAAAGACAACGAAAAGCCATCGCAAACGACCCCTTCAGCCACCAGGGCCCCTAAACCCTAAACCCTAAACCCCTAAACCCTAAACCCTAAACCCTAAACCCGGAGATCATCCGGTCGCAAGCGGAGCATGCCCCGAGTACCGTCGCCTCATGATGATAGCCCCTATATGGGTGATTGTCAAAATTATGGTCCCTTTTTGGGTACTTATTATAGTACGGCACCAATTATTATTTAGGGTACCCCAAAAGGGACCATAATTTTGACAACTACCCATATGTCCATAC